GGCTGAAACTTTGGCAGTTTGGTCTACAGCTACGGGCCCCTATCCTCAGTATGGTTGCTCACCTGCATGTTATACATACGGGCACGTGAAAGTTTTGGGAAGAAAATTGCTAATTTGAGAACCAGGAAAGTTAGAAAGCTGAAAATTTTTTTTCCCAGGTAGGTTTCCAGACTGAAGTCCGTGAGGGGGATAGCTGACTGGATGACATCGCTACAGAGAGGAAGATGAAAAAGGGGGCTGGTTTCGCTTCTAAATGTTGGCGCGGTGCAGGGAGGTCCTGGCCAGTGTTGTTTTTGTGCGTTTTTGCTGTGCACCGCTATAGCCTTATGCATACCGAAAGGGGCCAAAGCACGGCCAATGTGAGCCGAAGTGTTAGGATACAGCGTAGGGATCATTCCTGCTAACAGCGATCTGCGAGTTTAGTGCAAAAACTCATGGTCGCACCGGAGAGTCTGGTGCGTTCCAGCCTGGGTTGTTATTTAGATATGGTCGCAGGTGCACTTCAGGGTTCGCGTCCTATCTGATTTGTTCGTTTCAGTTCCTTGTGCTTGGGATTCCGCTGCTGCTGCTGCTCTGCTCGTGTGATGTTACGCTGTGATGCTGTTGCTGCACTGCCAGGGGAGGCAGTGAGTGTGGCCGATTCGCCCTCAGATACCTCGATGTTGGATGAAACAGTGCCGCCAGGCGATGCTGGGGAGCTTGCTGCACAGCTGGACGAAGATTCGCTGGACGCGACTCTGCCGCCGCCGAGTCCGCTTGCTGCCGTTGCAGTGGAGCAGGATTCGATGGAAAGCTCAGATTCAGTGGTGCTACTCAACAAGACCATGTTTCCCGCGGCACGCTTCGACACCGGGAAGTCCGCTTTTTCAGATGATCTGTTTGAGTCCGAGGAAAATTCAGCGCCGGTTGACGGGGCAACTTTTCTGGATGTCACAGCGCCGCCTGTGGACGAGGGCAGTCGCGAAACGTCACCAGAGATTGTCGTTGTTTTGGAGCGTGTTCAGCCGGAGGGCCAGGATCGAGGTGCGGAAAATCGAATCCCCGAAGAACTGCGACGTACCGATGTTGGTCGGGTAAAGACTTCAAAAAACCCGCATCCAAATGACGCAAAAGCTCGGAAGAAAGTCCCGCTCCATTCAAGGTCACCGCTTGCTCCAACTCAGCCCCCGGCTGCACCCCGATGGCTCTCCAAAACGAAATCATCGTGCCACACTGGGACACTGGATAGCTGGCTGCAACCAAATAAACCGCCGACATCCGATCCCCACATTGGTCCTCGTGGAAAAGCTTCTATTGGCTCCGTTCCACAAGTGAAAGCATCTAACACCATTCCTCAAGTGAGTATACCAGGCATTGCCCCTGCTGCCCACCAAAAAGTACCACCAAAGGCTGCGCGACCTCGTAAGGGGCGACTTCAGACTGGAACAAAAAATGCGGTAAAATCTCAACTGCTCGATAATTTCTTGCAAAAATTCGCTAAATCCCCTTATAATTCACCGAATTTGTCAGCATATGAATCGCAAACGCTGCCAGATAGCCAGGACACCGAAACTGTGACCATTTCGAGCCAGTCTTCGCTGAGTTCTTGTCCAGATAGCATATCGGAGGAGGGTCAGAAGACGCCCGAATTACAGGATTCACCAGTGGCGCAGGGGTCGGACAGTGCCATCTCCGACGAACACTCCTCAAACTCGTCCCATGGTTCCTTCGTTCTTCCAGTTTCCTCACCGCTGAGTGAGCTGAGGAGCCTGAAGAGGACGAAACAGACGCCACTGTCCCCGGGGCCGACGAGCTTCACCGAAGCGTTAAATCGAAGCAGTGTGGTGACGATATGTCGTAGTCCGTGCAAGCACAATCGCTCGCTTGTGAAAGCCTTGTCTGCGTCAGCCCTTCTTCACAGTGACCGGAAGCCAGAGGACAGCGAAACGAACAACTCGAGCCCGAACGGGGACCAGGGCACCGGCCGAAAGACCAAGGAGGAACGAAGAATGCTTCTCGGTTACGATTGCAAGTGCTGCGCTTCGTACTACGATGCACTGGGCCTGAATGACGAGGAACGCATGCAACGTGTCGACCAAGTAAGCAGTCTTAATAAATAGCGACGCGCATCAGAGCAGCCGGTGCGATCGTGCGTTTTGTGCAATTTCGTTCACCGAATGATTGCCTGCTAATGATTTTCACTGCTCTGAATTTACATTTGAGGAGTTGCACGTGGGCAGGGAATAGTCCTCCAAAATTTCAGCTTCCTAGATTCCGTGGTTCCCGAGATAATAATTTACTCGCCAAAAGTTTCACTGGGCCGTATATGTTACACACAGGCAAGGAAAAGCTGAATTTGGATTTTTTGGGCCGCACGTGGGCGGAGTAGATACCTATAAAACTTTAGCTTCCTAGCTTTCATGGTTCCCGAGATAATAATTTTCCCCAGAAAAACTTTTACGGAGCGTACGTGTTACCCGTGGGTACGAGGAGACTGAATTTAAATTTGCGAGATCACACGTGGGTGGGGAACATTCCCGTAAATTTTCAGCTTCCTAGCTTTTGTGATTCCCGAGTTGGAAGTTGCGGACAAGTTGCTGCGGATACACACAGACAACCCCGTGACAATATGCGTTTTGTACTGCTTTTACACAGCACAAAACTCATAACAAAGTATTCAGTCTGTCGGAGCGAGTGATCACTGGCTTTCTTTCACAGAGAGGAAACAGAACTGTGTTAGCCCTTCCCCTTGTTTTGGGTGGCCCGGCTACCGCTTCGAAGCTCATCCAAATGATCGTTTTTATGCGTTTTTGCATATATGTGAATGCAAAAGCTTAACGCATTAAATATATATAGAAAGAGTTACTTAAATTAGTAAATATTTATTATCTGGATGATAACTATTGGCTATGAGAATTCACGAGAAAAGGGATTTATCGGAATTCCCGAGAGAAAGGGTTTATCGGTGATGACCAGTTCAGGGGTGTTTGCTGACCACTGACCCAAAAAACTCTTACATTTAGCATCCCCGAAAATTTAAATTCAGCCTCCCCGAAATTGCCATAGAAATTTCTGCTATTTTAATGTTTAGAATATTTGGGTTGATTGCATTTTTTGGTCTTGAGCGATGAAGCTAGCAACTTTTCCAGTTTTTCTAGTGAGTACTGTATCGACTGATGGTCGGCTCGCCGATGAATTTGTCTCCTGGAAAAATTAGGATTCTCCGGATTGAAGCATTTTTAAAGGTTTTAGCCATCTTAAGTCGTTTTTACTGGGTGTTGAGCAACATATCTTTGTATCGAACGATGTCACTTCTAAACTACCGATGAATAACGGTTCTACAGGTTAGCAAACATAGAGCTGCGGTACCGATATCTGGCACCCCGGAACATTACTGGGAGATTGGAATGTCGGATCGAGAGGAGCAGCGCCGCCGTGGACAAATCACCGAGAGCAGCTCACCGATTTCGCTCAAAACGCGCAATCCACAGTATGAAACGATGACGAAAAAGCCTGTTCGCCGAAGATTGTTCTCTTAAGGCTAAAGTTCTACTTATACGCATTTTTATGGGCATTTATCTACGATTCTTATCTCACGTTTTTGCTTAATTCCGCACAAATGGAAAGGAATTTTGGCCGTCTAGGAATCGTTCCGATATATTTCAATTTTGCTTCGCATAGCTGCGCCCCGATAGGCGAGAGATCGGACACCCACAGCAATTGTTCGGGCTGCCTTGATATTTTTATTTAAATTAATTTTAACAACTTCTGGAGTATTAATTGCTTTATGATTCCTGTTGAACAAAGAAACGGCCAACTGTAGAGCAACTATAAAAGCGATGTGCGCATAGTTTGAACGAGCAGTGATGATATTTAGCTCAGGATCGAGCGGCT